CACGACACACAATGCCTTATCTGCTGCAGCGGAGGTCCAAACCCTTACTGTTATGCTGAAAAAAGAAGTAATGCAGAAACAATTTGTGGCAGAATGCTTTCACCCCATCTTTCAGCTTATGTGTCTGCGTCGCACATTGTTTGGTGTCTAATGGGCGACACTGAATTCTGAAATGCTACAAACCCTTTCTGACATCAATACGTGCTTTGTGTGTATTCTGCAAATGTATTTAAAACTATCCAAACATTCTATTAAAAACAAAATGAATAGCTTACTGTGACTGCAACTAAAATGGTTTGATGTTTAAAATACAAAGGAAACTAACAAATTTAGATAATCAAACTGTCTTGTCCCCGAGGAAGACCCAGGACACGCTGGAGGGACTATGTCTCTCGGCTGGCCTGGGAACGCCTTGGAGTTCCCCCGGAGGAGCTGGAAGAAGTGGCTGAGGAGAGGGAGGTCTGGGCCTCCCTTCTGAAGCTGCTGCCAGGAAAGCTTCTGAAGCTGCTGCCCCCGCGACCCGACCCCGGATAGGCGGAAGAAAATGGATGGCTGGATGGATGAAAAAAATAGTTGAAACTGAAAAGACAAGATGTTTAAAACTTTTCCAGTTTCTAATATATTATTTTTAGTTTCTCCATAAAATAGCAGCAGTAAAAGTTCATACTCACTAACAGACAGACACAACTCAGTTACACACAGAACATCCAATCGTATGGATGTAAAATCAACTGGGGTAGCCAATCAGGTTCCAGGTGTCCACCTTCTGATCCACCCTTCCTCATATTGATGTTTGTTTGTGTTACAAGACAAACTGATGAATCACTGAAATGATTTGAATGAAATGCTCAGAATGTAATCCTGGATGTTCATCTGATACCTATAAACTTTTTGAGTCAAAAACAAAGACAAAGCGGCTCAGCTAAAGTTTGGTGTGGTAGTAGCTGAGAGTCATTCTGAACACACACTTACTGTATCATAAAGACTGTGCATAACGTCGTTAAGAAAGTTTGACCAGTTTCAGCTGTTTTCATGGTTAAAGCCTCTTTGATTCTGTCAGTCAGCACTTTGTGTCAGAACGTTCCAGCTGTCCTGATGAGAACCTCTCTGCTTTCACCTCCAGCTGTACCCGAGGATCAAACCACGGCAGAGGAGCCTGGCCTGACGGGACGAGCTGCAGCTTCGTTACAACATGGACGCACTCAGCAGTGTTTCCAGCCTCAGCACAAAGAATGTCTGACAGAACTGCCAGAGTGCAGAGATGGAAGAAATCATTCACAGGTTTTCTTTTCAACAGAACCAGCAGGTTTTTAATATTTACTGARCATTTAATGTCTCTTCTAACAGAACCTTTCTGGGCTCAAAACAACAGAATGTAAAAACGTCTGCTCTTCTTACTGCTGTTTCCTGTATTCGCTTTTGTTTGTGTTTTGTTAAATGTTAGTGGAACACACATGGGTACCAGCTGACTCACGACCCAGAAAGTAAAGAGCTGGATGGATCTCAGCGACAGGTGATTGATTTAAAACAAAAGGCATCACTGCATCCAGCCATGCTCCAAAGGAACTGAACTGGAGTTAAAGAAAGAGTTCATATACAGGGGTTAGACAATGAAAGTGAAACAGCTATCATGTTAGTGTGGGAGGTTTCATGGTTAAACTGGACCAGCCTGGTGGTCAGTCTTCATTAATTGCACATTGCACCAGTAAGAGCAGAATGTGAAGGTTCAATTACAATTTTTTGGTGCACGTCTTGCTGGAGCATTTGTGACCAAGACAGCAAGCCTTTGTGATGTATCAAGAGCCACAGTATCCAGGGTAATGTCAGCATACCACCAAGAAGGACCAACCACATCCAACAGGATTAACTGTGGACGCAAGAGGAAGCTGTCTGAAAGGATGTTCTGGTCTAAAACCAGCTGTTTCATTGTCTAACCCCTGTATGTTGTAATGGGTGCTGTAGAAAGGCTATGAACAGTTGAGTTCAATAAATTGTTTAACCCTGAGCTAACGATAGTCCAAATGTGGCCAATACCAAAGTTGATTGCTGCCTCCTTAAAACAGATCCAGTCTGAATTGTTTGTTACCTTTTTAGGACCATTACAGGTATACACATCTAACCTGTCAAGGTGGAGACAGCCTGTTGCTGTGTATGTGCTGTAAGATGTAGTGGAATATGACATATTCTGCTGAGTGTAGGTGGACTGTTAGAGTAGAACTCAGCTCACTGAGTGTTTAGCTGCGTTTCCATTGCAAATGTGCGCAAAACTTTGTCAATATTCTGTTTATGTTGAAAAAACACAGATTCGCAACTGCAGTGTTTCCATTAAGTAAGAAATGTTATTAAAGTCACGTGAATACGTTTGTTCTCATGATAAGTCATTACAAACATGGCAGCGATGGATGTAAACACATAGCATGTTGCTACCACGACACTAGCGCTCAGTCGGCGTCTTTTATCGAGGCTTTCCAGAGACAAGTCCCTAC